GTCGAGCCTTGGCGGTGAGATGGGTTCCTTGTAAGATGGAGGTTTCTTTATTCCCCTCAGCAGATGAGAATTGCTTAAATTGAAAGAGTCTTGGTTTGTGGTCCACTGTCACGGGTGCGATCGATGGTGACGCTGGGCTGTGGGAACCTACTGAGGGGTGAAAGCATCTCAGGAGCTTGGTGTTGGCTGTGTTGTGTGACTGTGGTGACCCCACAGAGCAGCCCCAAGTCGTGGCTGCAGTGGGACGTCCTGGGTCCCCCACCCTCTGGGGGCATGGTGGGTCTTCTGGGGAGAGTTGGGGTACTGTTATGAGGACAGCCAGCGATCTTCTGTTCTGAGTGGGTTTCCTTAACCTTGACTTCCGTGACACTGTTTTGTATGAGTGTTCACACCTTTTGCTGTCACCCAAGGTGTGAAGCATAATCAGCACCCAGAGAGAAGCTGAGCTGGTCTGTTACCCGCAGAGGCCTTGGGCGGTGGCTCTGAGCTCAGCCTCCTCGCAGTGCAAGCAAGGGACTTAGTAGTTTTGAAGGAATTTCCCAGAATCCGCAGAACGGGTGCTCGCCTGCATCTGTGGACACAGACGAGCACCCCAGCCCTGCCGGGAGCGGCACACTGTGTCGTGTGGCGTCCTTGTAGTGCTGTAAGTGAGTGTGTTGATGGTAGCAGATGAGGGGCGTGAAATAACGGATTTCCAAGTCCCAGGTCAGTTTCTCAGTGCTGTTGGATTATAACGAACTTGGAGAAAAAAAGTAAAAGTACGGATTGCCTCATTTCTGGTCAACCTGTGGTCTAAGCCACTTGGCACAGTGGGATGACTCACCTCCCTCTCCACCTGGGCAAGTCGGGCAGTGTGTGGGCTGCGCCAGGAGATGCCCGATTGAGAGCCAGGCCTGGAATGCATCTCGGAATCTCAGGCCTCCGATCCCGTGGCCTCCACTAACCAGCCAGCCCCAGAGTCCCTCCCAGCACAGTAGCTGCCTGTCCCCTGGCCTTGCTGGCCGGCAGGGTGGTCCCGCGGTGGTTGCTGCTCCCGGGAGTCCTGTTGCCTTTTCTTTTCACTTATTTATAGAAATCTGCCTCCAACTCTAAAGATCTAAAGCGTTCTTCATGTTTACTTTACTCATCCAGCATTTCTGTGGTATTTTTACCTCCTCACAGCTCGTGGATGGTTATTTTGGAAGATTTCCCCCCCTTTATTGGCCAAAGTGAGGCTGATTGTTCAGGTCCCATTGAGAGAGTCACTCAGTGGACATTCAAACATACTGGAGTTTTGTTGTACTTTGTACGGTTTGATCGAGGGCTGGGGTGAAAACCAGCCCACACACCTTCTGAGATAAATGTCCCTCTGCCTGAGCGGCGATGGGAGGAGCTGAGGGACAGACAGACTGCCGCCTGCCCTCCCACGAGCACTGCTTGCTGCCCAAAAATCCAGGGCGGGTGGAAATAAGTTAGTGTGTGTGTGTGTGTGTGTGTGTTGGGGGGTGTGTGTGTTGGGGGTGTGGGGAGGGGGATTGGGCCTGACAGCACATCTGTTTGTTTCCTCTCTCACAGCTGTTCCAGGTGACACTGGGACGTGAATGTGGCCGGTTGGCCCTGCCCAGGCCCTGCCGCCCCCACCAGGGATGCCCTGTTCCTTGCACCATTCCCCCACCTCCCGCGGTGTGAGGGATGTCACTAGTGCCTGTGGCCTCTGCTCCTGGGGGTGCTGGACATGTCCTCCCCCCAGGTCTGCACAGCCAGCTCTCTTTCCATTCAGGCCTCTGCGGGGGACACCCGCTAGGCCACCCACCTGAGAAGGGAGCCCCATTACTCCTCAGCCTGTCGGGCTCTTTATCCACCCCAGCACCCAGGATGGGGCAGCCCTCTCTCCGCAGACAAAATAATTCTCTCTGCTGCTCTGACCCCAAGGCCCAGCGGCGTGCCTGGCACATGTTGGGCACCGGGCACCCGTGGACTCTCGGTGACCAAAGCCCTTTTCACCCACTGTTTTCTCCCCTCGTCGTCCCAGGAGGCTGTGAGCTCGACCTGGCCTGCTTTTTCCGGCTGATCAACGAGATGGGCGGCATGCAGCAAGTGACTGACCTCAAAAAGTGGAACAAGCTAGCAGACATGCTGCGCATCCCCAAAACTGCCCAGGACCGGCTGGCCAAGCTCCAGGAGGCCTACTGCCAGTACCTGCTCTCCTACGACTCCCTGTCCCCTGAGGAGCACCGGCGCCTGGAGAAGGAGGTGCTGATGGAGAAGGAGAGCCTGGAGAGGCGCAAGGGGCCCCTGGAGGGCCACACGGAGCAGGACTACAACCGCTTCCACCCCCTGCCCCGCTTCGAGCCCAAGAACGGGCTCATCAACGGCGTGGCCCACAGGAACGGCTTCCGCAGCAAGCTCAAGGAGGTGGGCCCGGCCCAGCTCAAGACAGGCCGGCGGCGGCTCTTTGCTCAGGAAAAGGAGGTGGTGAAGGAGGAGGAGGAGGACAAAGGCGTCCTCAGTGACTTCCACAAGTGTATATATAAGGTGGGGCCCCTGTGTGCGGGGTGGGCTGTGATGGGGTCCCGAAGCCCCCGGTCGGCTGTCTCGGGGAATGAGCCGTGTTTGCCGTTGTGGGCGTGTGGGTTGTCAGGACGGGGCCTCTGGGCACTGGTCTAGGGGGAGCGTCTCTTGCCCGCTCCAGCCTTGGGCTCCTTTTCCCTTAGATGAGCCCCATGTGTGCAGGGGCCCTTGTGCCGGGGACGCAGGCCCCCGCTGTGAGGCGCGGTGGGGGGCAGTCTGGGCTGGAGCTTCTCGGACGTGCATGGACCAGATCCTCTGCGGTTCCCGATTCACATTCCCTCCGTGCGGCCCCCCGCCCAGCTCTGCTGCCTCCCTCCAGCTGTCTAGTAGGGAACAGGCTTGGGGGAGGGGTCGAGGAGGTTTCCTGGCTTCTGCCCCGGGGAGATCCCCTCCTCCAGGAAGCAGGGCAGCATCCTGGCGACTCCCTAGTTGGCAGCCTGGTTCTGCAGCAGAGTCTGGGCCAGCCCACCAGGGTGATGGGGCCCCGGGCTGGGAGGGGCACAGACTGGCCCCGGGTGATCCGTTCTGGAGGCACCAAGAAGGACGGGGGCCCTGCTGAGGCCTTGGCCTGGCAAGGGTGTGTGGACGGACAGGAAGTCTGTGGCTGGGCTCGGAGTTCCGCCTCTTCTGTTTCGGAGTCCACCTTTGGAGGCCACATCTCTGGCTGCCCTCGCCTCACGACTCATTCTCCTCTGGGTTTTTGTCTGCCCTCCTTTCTGGAGAGAGACACCTGCTTGCCTAGAACCGTCTGTTACCGGACCCAGAGAGGGTTGGGTCTCCTGTGCTGTGATCCCGTCGTCCCTGTTCTGTGCCACCCCACAGGGACCGCGCGGCGGCGAATGGCCACCTGCAGCCTCGGCCGTAGTTCACAGTTTTAATGTGTTACGGAAAAGGAGAGGGCAGCTTTGGGCTGTAAACTCGGGAGCACTTTTGGAGTGTTTTTCCTGAATGTTTGCCTGAGAATCTCTTCTCAGTTGCAGTCAGTTGTTAAATCCTGACCCAATGGCCAGCTTGTGAAATTAGATGTCTTCTACTTTTGTTACTTTTTCTATAAGGAGGGCAATTCTGTGAGAATGAGGTGAATCTGAGTAAGATGGGTTTTTTCTGGAAACATGCTCTGTAAACGGTAATTTCCGATCTCATAAGGAAAACCTGATGGGGCCTGGCTGTGTGGCGGCGGCTGGTGCCTGTGCTGGGTAGCAGCTGTGTGCTGAGGGCCAGAAGCTCCAGGCCTCCTGGTTCTGAGCCCCGGCAGCACCTGGGGCGTTGACTGTCGGGTGCTGGATGTCATCTTGAATTACAGATAGTCTGCTCTAGTTGTTGTAAGATCAGGCTCCTGCTAGTGGTCCTGGTTTTATTTTGTAAAGAACAGCTCAGGAAGAGAAGTTTGAAATTGTACAGAAATTTCTCTCTTAGTTAGAACCCCCCCCCTTTAGAGCCGAAAAGCAAAAGCAAAGGGCAGAGTCCGCGCGGGCTGACAGCTGAGACTGTCCTTCCAAAGGCAAGAAGAACCTGCCCCTCCCTGCCCCCCTGCGGCTGGTTCACTGCACTTGGTGCGGCCTCACGGCAGACACATTCCTCGGGAAGCACCCCGAGGCCAGGGATGTTGTCTGTTTTGAGCATGGCTCCAGCCCCTAGAACTAGGCCTGGTACACTGTAGGTGCTCAATAAGTACTTCCACATTCAAGGGCTGAGTGTGAGGGAGTGGAGGGCTTGTGCCTAAAACAAAGCATAGTCATTCCGATGTAAATGGGGAGCCATTTCATCACAGCCCCGGGGCAGCAGCGGGGGTTGGGGGAGGTGCTGGACCATCTGAGGGCCCTGCCCGCCCCCCTGGGGAGGCGCAGGTGGGACCTGTCCATTCAGGTCCATGAGGCGGGGCGCCACATCTGGCCGATGCTCATGTGAGGACCCTGAGGGTGGGTGTAGGAATCACCCCAAGTTTCTCTCCACGGGTCCCCCGGTCCCAGCCTATTGCGAGGCTGTTGGTTTCTTCCCTGGCCTTGGCCTTTCTCCCACCCTACATGTGGGGCAAACGTGGGAGTCCTGCCTTTTGTTAAGCCCATTTCTCCACGGAGTGAAAGCTGCTTTTAAGCAGGGACCTTGGCAGCAGGCTCCCGGCTCCAGTCGTGCCCTGCCTGGGCCTCCAGGTGGGAGCCCGTTTGCCAGGTAATGGGTGGATTTGCGCTGCTGCTTCGGTGCTCGAGGGGCCTCCAGCTGCTTTGTGGGCACTGAGGGTCCCCCTCTGCTTGTGTCACCTCGGGACACACACTGGCGCCCTGTCCCAGGGACACGCTGGCCAGGGGCCCATGACAGGTGTGGACTGTGTTGGGGTCTGGGGTCTGGGCCCTGCTTTGTTTGTTCAGCTTGACTCTCCTGTTTTTGTTTTCTTTTCAGGGAAGGTCTGTTTCTTTAACGACTTTTTACCGAACAGCAAGAAATATCATGAACATGTGCTTCAGCAAGGAGCCCGCGCCCGCCGAGATAGAGGTGAGGGCTGCTGTCCTCTGGCTGCCGCGGCAGCAGATTTAACTTAGGTTATTCTAAACTTACTCAGGGTCGGAAAATGTAAAATGAGAGTGAGCCAGCCTCCCTGGCTTCTCCCTGACTCACCCCAACCAGAGGCCGCGAGAGGCAGCGGCCCCCACCCCGCCAGCCACCTCTTTCCCTGTCTCCCCCGTCTCTCCCCCTTCACCCTCCCCCCCCCGCCTCATCCCCTCCCCCCCTCCCCCGTTACCCCGCCCTCCGGTGCCTGTTACGCAGGAGAATGTTTGGAATCCCTTAAAGCCGCAGTTGTGCCTTTTTCTCTCCTGTTTTTTATTTAATGGGATTGGCAGGTTGCCATTTTTGTGCTTCTGCCAACTCTGTTCTTCGAGTTTAGCGTGAGGTTGGAGAGACGGCGAGCCCAATAAGGGGGAGTTGTGTGTGCGGCGCGACAGAGGACAGAGCCTGGGTCGGTCTGTCTGCCTGCCTCCCCGGCACCCCCACCTGAGTCGCCGTGCGCTCCCAGGTGCTGAGGCCGGTGGGCTGGCTTCTCTTGCTGGTGAGGGCGGCTGCTAGCTGAGCAGGAAGTGACGGGGACCGCAGCCTCGGATTCTGGTGTACAGCTGGTTTCAGACCAGTCTTTTTCTTCTAGGATGTATACCTCCTCCTCTAGGTAAAACCCCGTGTGGACCACCGGGGGGCCCGGGCCTGATGTGACCAGGTTTTCTGGGTGTGAGACTTCCAGGATAGCCCAGGACAGTCCGGGTGTCCAGGCTGCCTGTTCCCCACCCATGGTAGGTGGGGCCCCACCTCTGGTGGTAGCCATGGGAAGCCCAGGAGGTCCTGCCCTGGTGCTCAGGCCTGGTTTCCCAGGTTGTGAATTCGTTGTTGACTTTAGCATCACTCTTTCCAGGCCCTAGGTCTCTACTGATCTGTGCGGGCTGCCCCAGCTCTGCACCCTGGGATGTGTCTTTGAACACCACACAGTGGCCTCACCTCTACCACATCCCCTGATTTGGCTCCACCAAAGCCATGGTCCATCAGCCACAATGTCAACAGGGCCCCGATTCTGGAACATGTGTGGCTGTCACAGTTGCTTCTGGAGTGCTCATGCCATTTGTGGTAGAGACCTCAGAGGAAAGGAATGTGGCTCTTGGGGACTGAACATCTGAGATGGAGAAAGAGACCTTTGTTTTATGACATCGGTCCTTGTCGGAGTCCCCAAAGGTGCAGGGTTTTTTACTGTCCAGAGGACGAGGAAGGCTTGGCTTCTTTTAGTTTCTTGCTCAGGAATTTATTCTCCCTGAAAGTCCGGGTTTTGCTTAGCAGTTGTGTCATATTTAAACACAAACGGAAGATTTGCTAAAATTTAAACTTTTAGTCTATGTCTGGCTAACTGCTGGATCCTGTAAAGAGGCGGGGCCCTCTCCTTGGCCAGTGGTCACCAGCTGGAATGCCACCGCGCCCCCCGCCCCCTGCTCTTAGTGGAGGGTCATCTTCCTTCCCCACGTCTGTATCCACCCAGCGGAGGCTGCTATGATTCCAGGTGACTGCAAGGTCACCTGTGTGAGGAGCCCAGGCATTTGATGCTCGACTTTGTTCTTGATGTGGGGCCTCTGGCCGCCCCCAGGCTGGCCCCTCTTTGCAGAAGCCGCACGGCCCGGGGTGAGGGGTGCTCCTGGGGGAGGCTTCCTCCTGAGTGTGGTTCCAGTGAACATGTGGCCAGGGTGGGGAAGGTGATGTGCTCCTGGAATGATGACTGAAGGCAGAATGGAAAGAGGCCTCTGAGTTGGGGAGTCGCTGAAGGAAAACCACCCCTCTGACCTGTTGGCCAAGCCCATCCTCACCTGCTCTTTGCCCTTGGTTGTTGAGCTTGTGTTGATGACAGGGACCTGGTCAGCTTTTTAAACTAGTGGGTGTGCCTCTCGGTCTGTGTAACTGGCTGGGGCTGCAGCCTGGGGGCGGGGTCGTCACTCCTGTTTGACCCTCACGTGCAGCCCGGCTGACCCTGCGTGGGCTCAGGCTGCTGGTGGCTGGGCGTGCGTGGCCTGTGTCTGTCGGGAGGCCCACCTGGAGGCTGAGTGGATTCCACTGAAGGACAGTCATGGGTCGTGTTCAGCCGCCTCCATTATGGTTTTCTCCCTCCTTTTCATATAAAGGATTTCTTATTGTGGGAAAACATTATAATATTTACCATCTTAGCCATTTTTAAGTGTGCAGTTCAGGGACATAAAGTCCATTCACATTGTTGTGTGACCGTCACCACCATCTCCCCCCAGAACTCTTCCCTCTTCCTGAGCTAAAACTCTGCCCCATTAAACACTGATACCCACTGTCCCGGCCTGTGACAACCACCGTTCCTCTCTCGCTGGCTTTGGCTGTCACGGTACCTTGTGAGAGTGGGATCCTTGTGGGACTGACTCCCCTTGGCGAGATGTTGTCACGGTGTATCCGTGTTGTAGCATGGGTCAGAATTCCCATCCTTTTTAAGGCTGCCACCTTCCGTCACATGGACCTCGCGCCTTCTGTTCATCCATCGCGGGTGCTGGCTACTTCCACGCGCAGCCGTCGAGAACAGAGCTGCTTCACTGGGGCTGCGGCTGTCTGTCTCAAGCTCCATGTCCCCAGCCAGCCCCCCGTGGCTCCCACCCAGCACGCTGCGATGGCGTTGGGCCCTCTGTCGAGCGTTCACGTGCCGTGGTGCTCAGTTGAATCGGGCTCTGTGCCCCCAGCAGCGAGGTGCTGACGCCCCCCCCTCTCCCCACAGCAAGAGTACTGGAGGTTAGTGGAGGAGAAGGACTGCCACGTGGCTGTGCACTGCGGCAAGGTGGACACCAACACGCACGGCAGCGGATTCCCGGTGGGAAAGTCAGAACCCTTCTCAAGGTAACGTCGGACACTCTCGCCCGTATGGGGACTGGATGGTGCCCCTCCCTGCCCGGGTGTGACGCCCTGTGCTTTCCTCTGCAGACACGGATGGAACCTCACCGTCCTCCCCAATAACACGGGCTCCATCCTGCGTCACCTCGGTGCTGTGCCTGGTAAGCCTGCCGCGGCTCCACCGCGCGGGGAGCGGGAGGGGCGGGGCCGCCGGGCTGCGGGGCCGCCCTGTACAGGTTGTGCTTGGAAGACTGACTTTTAGAGAAGAGAGAGGAGTTAGGATCATAATTGAAGTCAATAACAGTGTGGAAAGGTAAACCAAATTGTGGGTTCTCAATGCTGGGCAGCTGCTTCGTGGCCAGCTTTTTACTTTGAAATTGGTATTTTCAGAGCTAACATTCGGACTCCTAAGGGCTACCTCCCAGGCTGAAGGGGAAACCAGGTGACCTGGGCGCTGTGGACACTGCAGGCAGGGCCCCTGGAGGAGGGGGCCTCCACCCTGGTGGGGGGGCTCACGCTTCCCGCGCCCAGCACGGCAGCGTCCGGGGGCAGGCGCTGGCGGCTGACTGCCAGCGGCTGCTGCGGTCACGCTCGTCGGTTCAGATGTTCTTTCACTACTGTTTCTTAACAGCGTCTGTGTTCTTGGTTTCTGTATAAGCAGGAAAAAGCGGGTGCCTTCTCACTGGGCTGTCTGGGTTTGAATCTCGTTTCTCTTTTCCTGTTTGGGGAGAAGACAAGATTTCTTTTCCTGTCACCCTGAGACACTGGTCTTCATCACGCCCTGTCCCCTTTGTTCTAGGAGTGACAATTCCCTGGCTAAATATTGGCATGGTCTTTTCTACCTCATGCTGGTCTCGAGACCAAAACCACCTTCCCTACATCGACTACTTACACACTGGTGCTGACTGCATTTGGTGAGTACCCGGGCCCCTCGCGCCCGCCGGCTGGCAGCCTTCCCGTGTTTGCCCCTGCTCCCCGTCATCGCTCCTCAGCCTGGCATCTCTTGCCTCGTTGGAAGTTGAGCTGTTCCTGTGCTTATTGGCCATTTTCCTTTGGTCAGTTGCTGAGTTTCTTCTTCTGTGATGTTCTTTCCGTGGTTGTTGATTTCCAAGAGCGCGTTCCACGTTTGTGTGAGTGCAGTTTTCAGCATCTCCCCACGGCCCATGTCCCCCTCTCCACCAATGGCTAGAGAGTAGGTTTTACTGGAGGCGGAGCTCCTGCCCTGGGAGATGCATGTGTGTGTCTCTCCCTGGGAAGCCTTCTGCCCAGTTCCCCTGAGCGATCCGTAGCTGTCAGGCTAGCCAGCCCTAATCCTACGGGCTCCTCCGCTCTTTGTTTGCGGCGGCAGGTGGGAAATTACCATAAATAATCAGAAGTCTTGTCTCCCAGCACCGCATCCATCCCACACTAATGTGTTTATTGTCCTAATGGAGTGATCAGGCATCCTCTATTAAAATACACAAAATCTTAGAACTAATGTTCTCCCTCCAAGGAGCCAGTGTCACAGCAGTCCCAATCCCCTCGCCTTCCAGCCACATCGGCGGGAGTGGCAGTTGGCGTGGAAGCAAGCGGTCAGGGCCCTGTAGTTGACCTTCTGCCACACGGCTGCTGGGCTGTGGAGGCCAGGAGGGGCAGGGGCCTTGGGCAGAGCTGAGGGTGGACGGCTGGACCGTCTCTCCTCTGGGGACCATTCCCCACGGAGAAGCTGCTGTGGGCAGTGCCGGCCAGGCTGGGTGGGTTAGATTCACAGGGTCCCACCCAGGTCTGTGACCAGGCCTCACTGGACCCTGGTTCCTCATCTGAAAGTGGAGGGATGTGGCCCATGTGGTCATTTTACTGCCTGACCAGTGAGTGAGAGGCAGGGAAATGCTGGCTTCTGGGCTGTTCGAAGACTGATCCCTGAAACCTCAGTGATGGGAATGGAGGGGCAGCCAGGATGGGCTCAGAGAACTTGATGCTGTGTGGTTTTTCTTAAAACATGTGATTTAGGTTAGAAACCCTGGATTTAAATCACAAATCAGTTACATTGGCATTAAAATAACAAACATTTGAGAGAAACTTAAATGTGGTGATTGGCGCCCCTCCGTCAGCAGCAGCAACCAGGTCCTCCCCCAGGAATGGTTTCCCCTGTGGCAGGTTCCCTGGAGGGGTTGGGAGGGGCGCTGGTCAGCCTGAATCCCTGTCACGTGACTGCAGGGGTGCTCAGAGAAGGGGGCCTTGAGGAGGCCACGCTGGCTGGCACTAGGGTATCATGAGTTGTAGATGGCAGGTGTGTCCTCTGGGGACAGGAGAGGTAATTCTCGCCCCCTCGCTCCCTGGGGTAGCAGCGCGGGTCCAGATTCTTCTATTGGGTAAGTTCTGCCCACACTTTCTCCCACCATCTCCCCTGGCCCCGCCTCTGCTCCACCGCAGGGTCTGTGTTGTCTGAGCCCTGCCCCCAGCATCGACCCCTTTTCCCACTCCCCTTTTTTTGCTCCTTTTGCAGCTGCTCCCTTTGCCCTACCCATGCCCTCGTGGTGTTGGTTCTCCTGTGTGTCCTGTGTATGTGTCCTGCACAGAACCTTAGTCCTGCAGTGTCTTCTCTGCCACAGAGAAGTGTCAGCCCAGCCTTAAGTCTCAACTCAGGAGGCTCACGAGAGGCTGTTGAGTCTGCAGATGTGTCTGGATCTGATTTATAGGGGCTTTTAAACATCTGTGTTTGGTTTGAAGGCTTTTTGGCTGACGCATAAAAGATGAGCATTTCTGTCCATTCACGGCTGTGGTTTGGCCATGCTGGGCAGAAGCGGCGGAGTTGCCCTGGGAGGCTGGCGGCCCTGGAAACCCTGGGGGCTATCAGTGAGCTCGCCCACCTTCCCATCCCTGCACCTCAAGCCACCAATTGCTCATTTCTCTGAGGGAGTGGAGGCCAGGCTCCCAGGCAGAGGGTCCTTTTCAAGTCTGCTTCTGCTCTGATTCCAACCCCCAGGTATTGCATTCCTGCTGAGGAGGAGAACAAGCTGGAGGATGTGGTGCACACCCTGCTGCAAGCCAACGGCACCCCAGGTCTGCAGATGCTCGAGAGCAACGTCATGGTACGGCGGCCGGGCTGTGTTGGGCGGGGGAGGGGCGGGGTCAGGTGTCCCGACTCACTCGGTTGTTTCATTGACTCGGCCTTCTTGCGGACCTGCCTTGCAGAGGCGAAGAAGACAGTGAAAAATAAATGCTCCAGGTGTCCATTATAACCAAAGTGCCCTCTTTTATGGGAAACAAACTAAAATGCTTTCCTCTGATTGCAAAGGACGTGGGGCTCGTGCCCATGGTGGCCTCTGACTCTGTTTGGGGGCCTGGTTGTTACGTAAACGGAAACTGGGCTGTGCTGGAGTTGGCCCTGAGTATGGCCTGGGCCCCTGGACGACGGGGTCCGGATCACCGAGTGTTGCAGAAATGAACACAAAGGATTCAGACCCCACTGCCGAGTTCCTGGGACTCTCTCAGCCCTGAGCTGTGTTCTGACCCCTGCACAGGTGTCCTGTCCCTGCTGGGCCCACCTCACTCTGGGCTCTGCTCTGAGAGGGTGAGCAGCAGCCCCTCTGGGGGGACCAGGCCCAGCCTGTACTCCTGTGGACCCGCTGGACTCTGGAGACCCCCATGGTATACACAGGTCCCAGTCCAACCCTGGTGGTGCTTACTGAGACACGGGCCCCCGTGTGGCATGAGGGCTGTGTGCTCACAGCGGTGCTACCCACCCCCCTGACTTGTGTCAGTGTAGGACTTCCTCCTTCATTTAGGAATTGTGTATCTTTATTTTCTAAAAGAGAAGCAGACCTTTAATAGAAATTGTAGTCTATCTTGGGAGCAGGTCGGCCTGCTTCTGCCCCGCCTGGAGGATAGGTGTTTGTTTCTGCACCTGCCGGGAGGCCGTCAGAGGCTGATCTCACACAAGGGGCTCCAGACGGCGGGCGGTGGTGGGCAGCCCTACAGGAGCGCTTGTCAGCCCCGCGGTCTCCACAGATCTCCCCGGAGGTGCTGTGCAGAGAGGGGATCAAGGTGCACAGGACCGTGCAGCAGAGTGGCCAGTTCGTCGTCTGCTTCCCGGGGTCCTTTGTGTCCAAAGTGTGCTGCGGCTACAGCGTCTCTGAGACCGTGCACTTTGCCACCACCCAGTGGACAAGTATGGGCTTCGAGACGGCAAAGGTAGGTGGGGGCGCCCCGCACGTGAGCCAGTCTGTGGGTAATGTGTTTAATTCCAGAGTGAGCCTTAGAAAACTGAGAGTCGGCTGAGAGGTGTTCATAGGGAAGGAGAGTTGTTAGCGGTTTGTGTATCATGGAAGGTACACCTGAGTCCTGTTACTGGCCCCTACGGTATCAGGAGATCAGTACTGAGGTTGTTTAAGGCAAAAATCTCCGCCCATTTCAAAGTTGTGGTGTCTGCATTTGCATTGGGGAGTGATGATTATTGGTGTTCAGTGTCTCTCACGGGCAAACAAGATTGTTGCGTGGTTCTCATTTGCTCTGAACCCCAGTGGAATTCACAATTGAAAATTCAGATCACACCCGCTCCACGGTAAAGAAAACCCCTGACAGCTGCCTAGAAGTGAAGATCTCCCCTGTGGGATGTGGCTGCCTCTTTCAGGAAATGAAGCGTCGGCACATAGCTAAGCCATTCTCCATGGAGAAGTTACTCTACCAGATCGCACAGGCGGAGGCGAAAAAGGAAAACGGTCCCACTCTCAGTACCATCTCAGCCCTTCTGGACGAGCTCAGGTAGCCCGAGACCCAGGCGCCGCCCTGCCGGGGCTCAGCCGGGCGGGGTGCGGCCGGGCCTTTGTGGGCAGGTGGGCCAGGACTTGGGTGTGGCTCTTGTATTTCGTTTCCTCTTATGCTGATGATGCCAGAGTTTAGCCTCCTTTGTGGCAGTGGCCAGGAGGCGGCTCCTTGAGCCCCAGGCCCCACTGGTCCTCACAGCACCTCACCACTGAGAGGAGGTGGCGACCACGGCATCAGAGCCTGGCCTGGTGAAGGAGCAGACGGGGCAGGAATTGAAGTGACCCTCTTCCCTGCCCCGTGGCCCCTCCCTCCTGCTGGGAGCCCCAGCGCAGCCAGAGCGCCACTCGGACTTGGTTGCCGGTGCCGGCAGATAGTTGATCACGTGTGCCCTCAGGTCGGGGGAAGGGCGCCCCGACAGGCACTGGCGCTGTGTCCTGTGTTCGCCGCAGGCAGAGTTGATCAGCCCCGAGGCCTTTAGACTAAAGGGCACAGGTCCACAGGCGGGGCCGAGAGGGCGCTGCTCGGAGGAGCCCGCTGAGCCCCGCGTGTCCGCGCAGGGATACGGAGCTGCGGCAGCGCCGGCAGCTGTTCGAGGCCGGCCTCCACTCCTCCGCCCGCTACGGCAGCCACGACGGCAGCAGCGCCGTGCCAGACGGCAAGAAGAAGCCTCGGAAGTGGCTGCAGCTGGAGACCTCGGAGAGGAGGTGTCAGATCTGCCAGCACCTGTGCTACCTGTCCATGGTGAGCCCCGCGTGCTCTGCTCCCGCCTCGGGGTCCCCCCCACCTCCGACTGGCGGCTTGGACCCCCAGCCCTGCTTTCTTCTGTCCCTGTCCATCCTTCCCTGAGTTGGTGCCCCTGGGGAGCTGTGGGGTTTTCAGTCTCTGCCCTGGTCTGTGAGCTTTCATTCAGCCACATGATGGATGTCACTGCCCAAGGACTCTGAAACTATCTGGTTAAAGCCAACACTTCTTGGCTGCACCTCCTAGTCTAGCCTCCGCGTTGGGTCCTGACTTGAAGGCAGCCCCCTCGCGACTGTTCGCTCACCTTCCTAAGCCGCCGCCTTTCTCCAATCCACAGCCTCCTTGAGGGACTTATCTGTCTCAGCCTTGGGCTTAATTATGGACTTACTGCTCCAACTCCGACCCCATCCCAGGCTAGAGGGGTCTCCGAAAAACCTTGCTCAGATGGCTAGCTGGACTGGTGTCGCCTCCCCTCTGATCTTCCAGTCCCTTCTGCCCTGTGGCCGCTGCCCTGACACAGGTCTTTCTGGCTGCACCGGCTCCACGCAGGGTGGCTCCCCGCCCTCGGGTGCCATTGCCCTCTCCCCGCCCTTGCGGTCCTCCCTCCGGAGAGAGGAGCCCAGGTAGTAGGTGCCCACCCCTCACGCGGCTGGGCACCAACATCCCACATGTGCCGCCCTATAAGCCACACATGGCCAAGACCACATGACTGTGATGCCACCTCACCTGTGTCCCTGGTACCTGCCCAGCTGCCCTGCAGAGAATGGGGGCCCATGGTCACTCCCAGCTGAGTCACGTGCTCTTTGTAACATCTGAGAGGTCAGAACACAGAGAAAGGAGGGAAGAAACGACTGAAGGAGTTTGCCAGGGCCATCGTGACACAGTGTCGATGACGGCTGGCTTGAATAGCAGAGGTTGCTTTTCTTGAAGTTCTGGAGGCTGAGAGTCCAAGGTCAAGGTGTGGCCAGGGTTGGTTTCCTCTGAGGCCTCTGTCCTTGGCTTGTAGACAGCTGCCTTCTGTGTCCTCACTTTATTTCTTCTGTGTGCATCTGTCTTAATCTCCTCTTGTTGTAAGTCATTGGACTGGAGCCCACCCTTTCAACCTCTTTTTACCTAATCTATCTCTTTAAAGGCTCCAAACAGTCACATACTGAGTTACTGAGTGCTAAGACTTGAGCATATGATTTCTGGGGTGGAGGGGTGATAATTCAGTCCATAACCACCATGAATCCATTTCCATGTTTTCTTCTATCTAGCTTTCTTTTCCCAGATGCTTTTTAAAAGATACAATCAAGATCTATGCTGTCTTAAAAAAAAAAAAGCTGTAAGAATTTCCCCAGATCTTAGAAGTGTTTTTATAAACATCACTCATAAAAGCCGCATAGTTCTGTGTCTGTTCCTTTTGTGTTGGAAGAGGGTTATTCTCGTGGGAAACAGTCACTTCCCATGAGCCAGGGTGACACTGTTGTGACCTCATGTGGCCCTGGTCCCTTCCCGTGGGCTCCCTCAGAAAGCTGTACCTGGAGAGTTGTCACCAGGAATTTCTTAGCCTGGGTGTTATTTTTAAAGCATATATCCTGAATTCGTAGGTGAAAACTGGTTTTATTTATATATGCTTTTCATTGCTTGGGTCATGAAGGAGAGGCTTTGTGCATTTTTGTTCAGTTTCACATTTGTGTCTGTTCCTGTCCTCAGCCCCGAGTGATGTGTCGTTTCCTTATGCCGGTGGCTTGTTTTCTTGTCTTTGCTTAGAAGCACTGAAGACAGGAAGCCTAGATCTTTCCCCCAAATCCTTATGAAAAGGGCTGTGAAGCTTTTGCACCTGGTGTGTTACAGCAGCATTCTCCCATTGTTTACACAGGGTGAGCCCAGGGCGGCGAGTCAGGGTGGGGGTGAGAACTCCCCGTACAAACAGGTCTGAGTGTCCGGGGCCCCGGCTGGGCTTGGGTTCCATGTGGCCTCGGGGCAGCGGCGTGTCCCTGGGAGCTGCAGGCAGACGTGGGTTGGGTAACAGGTGCTGGGGATCAGGAATCAGGAACCGTGCTGGCTGGAGTTGGGACAGAGGCACTCGCGCCCCACGTGGTGTAACTGGCTGGACTGACTGAGCCAGTAAGAGCAGGAGTAGAAGAACCATGTGTAGCCACTGAACCGTCCAGGTGTGACCACCTGGCACCTCTTGTACTGGGGTAGTTTTTGAACCAAAAGTCCCAGAAGCTCTCAGAACCCAAGAGCGGCTTCCCGTGTTTCTGGGTCGTGGGCACCCCTGGCTTGGGCGACGGCCTCCCTGCTGTGCTCCTGGGAACTTGTGTCCCCGGCCTTGGGACTGAGTCCCCTTCAGAGCCTCAGGTGCACCTGTCCTCCCGCAGGTCGTGCAGGAGAACGAGAACGTGGTGTTCTGCCTGGAGTGCGCCCTGCGCCACGTGGAGAAGCAGAAGTCCTGCCGCGGCCTGAAGCTGATGTACCGCTACGACGAGGTCAGTCCTGGGGGGCAGGCACGTCCCGCGGGGGGCCGCTGTCCCTGGCCTGAGGCCACATGGGGCCAGTGGGTTCCAGGCAGGAGAGCCTGACCTGAGGTAGGTCTTGGTCCCCAGACTGGGCAGGGGCAGGTTCAGCCAGCGTTGGACTGACCTGGACACACCAGGAGTGGAGGCAGCGGAGAGACGTGTTTCCTTGATAAATGGTTCATTCCAGTTTTCTCCTTCACGCCTCAGTGAGCCCGTCCGCCCTCTGCTTCCCCACCGAGCCCTGCCGCCTCTCTGTTGGCATTGCTGGCTGCCAGCGCCTCGGTCCACAAGGCATTTGGTTTCAGGGTGTGGGTCCACACCATCTGGCGGGGCTACTGAGGAATGGGGGGAGGCACCGTCCCGTCCGGCCAGGGCTGGGGCCCAGACCCAGGGGGGCAGAGGGGACAGCGGGCTGCCTGTGTGCCCACCACGGGGCAAACCCCAGCTGGAGGTGACAGTTCCGGTGCTGGCCAGTGGGGGCAGGCCAGGCTTTCTCACCTTCCCTCCAGGCCGTGGGCCGCGGCTCCAAGGGCCTCGAGCCAGGTCTGTGTGGTTTCCGTGTCTTCAGAGTAGCCTGACTGCAGGGTGTCAGGGACGCAGCCCTAGGAGCCTCGCCGACTGTAGCTCCAGCGAATGTGACGATGCCCGTGTCGCCATCCCTGCCCTGCGGTGTGCGGCTGACGGGGCTTGGGAGGGAGCTTCTGTTCTGATTTGTGGGCCAGTGTGGGGTGAACTGGTTCCTCTCAAGTGAGAACTTCAGAGCAGGGGACCTGGTGCCTGAGGCCCAGGGGGTGGCCCAGGAGGTGGCCCAGGAGCTGCATCCAGTTGCACCCAGTGGACCAGCTCTGGTCCTCTCCAGGGGCTTGTTTCACCTTCTGAATAAAGCCCTGTCCAGCCACCTCCACCCTTTCCTGAAGACCCCAGCCATCCTTAGAGGCAGGTCCATGTGGATCTCCCACAGGGAGGGGACTTACTTCTTCAGCGGACAGGGAGCTGGCGGGATGCAGGCAGAGCCCCTGCGCCCAGGGCTCCACTTCCGAGGCAGCCAGCACGCGGCTCCCTGTGTCTCATCACGTGTATTCTGAGTGCTTCCAGGCTGCTCGGCGATTGCGTGTTTAGGTACAAGCGTGCAGCTCCCGGGACACGTGGCCCTGCCCCTCAGAAGCCCTCTCATTCCCGGACCTGGAGCCCTTCTTGGGGGTCATCTTTGAGGTTGCCATGGGCACCCTGTCACCCCTCCTGGTCACTGCGGCTGCAGGCCTGGCCCGCTGTCATCTAGAGAGTGGTCCTCATCCCTGTGGTGTCTGCAGTGGGAACCTCTCCTGCTACTCCAGCCCCACTGCCCCACAGACCCAGGGAGGCTGGTCTCATCCGGGCATCACACATCAGAGCCCTGGGCAGGGCCAACCCAGGTGCCCAGGCAGACCGGGAGCAATGGGGTGTCCGCGGTGGCTCAGGCTGTGATCAGACTTGATGATAAGTCTTTGGCTAAATTACAAGATTAGAAAGCTGAGAATAGATCTCTTTGCATCTTTTGTTTTTAAAGAGCACGTTCATCGAAGGCAGTAACCACTCTGCCCTCCCTGCTTCTTCACTTGAACAGCAAATGTCAGAACAGTTAAAAATAAACCCTCGTATCTGAGTCACAGCAGCTCTGGCAACTAGCAGAGCCCACCAGCGGCACTGGGGCTTCTCAGGGCGATCCTGAAGCTGGACAAAGCGTGGGCTATTTCCCACCGCCAGCCCATTTCGTAGCTAGGAGTTTTGATGTCACCAAAATCCTGGAGAAAATGTTCAGTTGTCAGTCTGAAGATTAACCATTGGTTTTAATGAGTAGGGAAGAGAAAAAAGTTTTGTAAGCCTCCTGCTTTGCCAGTGGCCTAACTTATTTTAGTAAATGAAAATCACAAATAAGTTCCCTATTGAGTTGAACCATGTAGTTTGTTTCCAGCTGTGGAATTTGCGCTGTGGGTTGGATTTCAGAAATGGCTTATGAGACACAGCTCCTGTCCTGAGCCCTGGTGCCCAGCACTCAGATCCCCTCTGTCCGGCCCGTGGGGCGACACAGCCCCCTGCTGCCGAAGAGGCTTCAGCCACAGGTCACTGGGCTTTAAAGCAGCTCGTGGCACAAGGGAGGAACAGATGTGTTTCTTATGTGCTTTAAATGGCCCATAGACGTTTGTAGTGCTCGAGAGCAGGCCAGGGACCAGGCTGACCCTCAGGCTCAAGGGAAGGAGTGGCCTCCTGTCCCCGTGTCCTCCTGGTCCATTCGTCTGTCCCTCTTGGGCTCAGAGGAGGCACTCTGGAATGGGACATGTGCCACTTTAATATTCTTCCCCTGGTTTCTTTTAAAAGTGGGTGGTTACAAGTTGTTCTCAAGTTACACACATTTTTGATGCCAGCAGGTTGATGGTTCTCATCACCCTCCCCTTCGCTGAGGCGGAGGGAGTAACATTGATGGACAGGCATTTGCATGAGACCAGGTTAATAGGCTCGAGCGCAGTAGCCAGAAAAACATGCAGCTCAGGCACTGGTCACCGTGCAGGGAGCAAGTTGAGTGGCCCTGAGTCTTCCCTACAGCTGTCCCCTTCCTGCGGGGACCCCTGCGGCCTTCTGAGCTCCCAGATGGCCAGTGCTGTGGGTCCGCTGGGTTGTCTCTGCGGTGAGCGACCTCATGGACGCAGGGAAGGTACAGACCAGAGGGAACAGTCACGACTGTGTCGTTACCATGCTCTTGTCTTTAGCACACAAACCTGTTTCGACTTCACAGCCACGGGGGTAGGGGCGGCGCTCTTAGGTTCCCTGGACTCTGGGACGGAATGTCGGTGGTTGGGAGGCGCCCATCAGGAAGGAACTCTGTGCGCCTGCCTCCCTGGCTTCCAGATGAGAAAAGGCGTGTTTCTACCGGAGAAGGCAGGTTTTATTTAGGTGCCTGGTAGAGGGCATCAGTCTCAGAAGGGTGGTTCTAACTAGTTCCCGCACCGCTGCATCTCGGCATCCCTGCGCAGATTTCAGAGGCCAGTCCCAGCCTCCCTGGGGCCTCCTCTGGGCGCTGCTCCCATGTGCTTTGATGAAAGGTGACGGCTGTTGGCCCGGCCACCAGCTCCAGGGGGAGGGGTATGGGGTGTGTCTGGGGACACGCTCTTCCTGTCTGCTAATTTTGTGTCTTCCTTTCAACCCGAAACAGGAACAAATTATCAGCCTGGTCAATCAGATCTGTGGCAAGGTATCTGGTAAAAACGGCAGCATTGAGAACTGTCTCGGAAAACCCACACCAAAAAGAGGGCCCCGCAAGAGAGCGACGGTGGACGTGCCGCCGTCCCGGCTCGCATCCTCCTCGTGAAGACGCCAACACCGCGGTCGAGTGATAGATATTTTTTTGTAATTATTATATTCTAGTTTGGAGTACTTGCTGTAGGATACAAGCTGTCTTTGCACTAGCTCTAAAGAAGATTTTCTTCTGGTTTTAGAGAACTAATTTTGTTTTAGCATTAAACTGTTGAACTTTTTTTTGTACTTAGAATACCTAGATACTGCAGTCAGATTTTTGAAACTGCCGTATATTCACTGTTTTAAAACCCTTGAGGGGCTGTATTAATTTGTATTGCCCCTTGTGGCTGAAAAAAAAGCCTTCTTGTTTGATTTTGTTGTTTTTTTGTTTTTTGGGTTTTTTTTTTTTTTGTAATTGTTGGGGGAAAAAAAGGTTTTTTAACCCATTTTTGAAGAGGGTGAAGTTTGGAGAACAAATTTTAAAATCATCAGTCATGTGAACAGATTTTTTCTAGAGAGGAAAAGGGATAGGAGACACACACATACAAAAAAAACTTGAAAAGAAATGGCTTTACTCTGGCTGTCTTTTCTTCTGTCCTGTGCAAGCTGAGTTTGTCGTTGTTGAAACCGGAGAATCCCCATTTTGTTTCTTTGGGCGGTTATGGCAGCTGAAGGCGGACGTTTCCTAACCGTAGGCAAAATGAGGAGGTGGGAGTGACTAGGTTCTCTTTACCAGCACATCACTATGCATCTGTTTGAGGAAATGAAGAAGAGAGAGAAGAAAAAGACTGCCTGCCTTGGAGGGGTCACGTGAGGGAAACCTGTGCCTGATTTCATTAGGAAATCCATTCTGTTATTTTTTGGTGCTGTTGGCTACTTTATCAAAAAACCCTTCAATAGCATC